TGTCAGAAAACATAGATCAGAAAAATGAAGTCAGTCCTTTTGGTGAGGCCGTTTCTATTATCTTTCCATTTTGAGAAATTATTCTCAGTTCATGGGTATTACCATGGTGATGTGTTTGCATTTCAACAAGACAAAACTGAACTCTCAACTGGAGCGCTGCAAGTCTCGTGCCTGTCTTGGGCTTTTTATTGCACTATCTTTATTATTGAATCAGATCTCCAATATCTTTGCCTAAAAATGAAAATAAAGCAACAATTTTTCAGTCAGACACAATCATACGGATGAATCATCTCAGAATTCGAAGAAATTACATGAAAGTGAAAAGAACTGGCATTCGAAGAGGAGTAAAAATCAAATAAAGAAACAGCCCACAAATTGATGGAAATATATTTTTGGTCTAAAATAAGGTGATGGAAGTAAAGAAAAAAAAAGCCAAGTGGGGCCTTATAGCTTAATGAGAACTGGATGCGTGTTTTAGCCTTTTTGGTTGTAGACAAAAAGATACTTCCACAATTGTCAGAACCTCTGCCCGTCTCTGGAGGGAGAGCTCTGAGACCTCACTGCCCTGCCTGCTGCTGGTGAAGCTTGTTTTGCCCTTTGGAATAATCACACATGAAATTTTTGACAAGTAAATGAACTCTACAGGTGCTGGGTTTTTGAGTTGTTCAAAAATTCCTACAGTTCGTCCCATCGGACTCAGGAGATAGTCTTGCATGAGGGGAGGGAAAGAGCACATCATCTCTTCTAATCACCGAGGTGCGAAAACAAGATTGGGGTTGGAACAACTATCCCATCTCTTTCGCCTCACTACTGTATCAAAGCATCTCTTCCAAGATAAGGATTTTGTTAGCCCCCGAACACCTTAGCCCAGCCAGACCTGGGCTCTCAGGAGGCTATTAGCTACTGCTGTGCTCACTGGTAAATGGGCAATGTGATTTTGCCTAGCAACCCTCCCGGGGACACAGCTCAGTCTTGAAGTGGTGTGGGAGGGGTGCATGGGGAGAGGGGGGATGGGATCACCAGGTCTGCCCCAGCAGCAGGTTCCTGATCGAGCAGACATGATCTTGTGGTTTCATAAGGTGAATGGAGAACTAGGGGCGGGCAAATTAAATGAAAGGCACATTAAAAAGCTTTCCAGATTGGGAGCAAAGCCTGAGAGCTCCATCCAGAGACCACACAGAAAACCCCGAGGGGATTGAAGACATTTTGCTTGTGGAAAATGAGACAATTATAGGAGACAACACATCCAGGAAGGACCTACCAACAGTCACCTCCTGATAGACAGAGACTATCCTAAGCCAGACGTGTGGGGACAGTCCTTACAAGCCAAGGGCGGCATTCTCTCTGGGGCTTTGCACACCCGGAGAAATAGTTGAACTTCTACATGAAAAAATGATCGTTCACAACCATGGATCCATGGATCGCTTCGCAGGCACAGTGCTCAAGTTTTTACACCTTTGCTTATTTAATCTTCCCAACAGTCCTCTGATGGGGATTTTCTAGTCTCCATTGTATGGAGGGAGAGCCTGGTGCACAGAGAGGTTGAGAAACTTGCTTGTGATGACTCAGCTGTTTAACAGCAGGGGTGGGAGGTACCTTGGGCCGTCTACCCCTAGGCTGCAAGCTCTTAAGAACTTTTAGAGCAGTAGCAAACAGTTGCAGGGCTGATGGCGATAAAGCAACCCACAGATCACGGAGTGATATATAAGAAACCCTGTGATTCTGTGGAGAAAGCTACAGTTTCAAATGTTTAATTAAGGCAGCTTAAAAATATCTCAAGGGGACTGTGGGTGCTTTGGTGGTGGGAGCACTTTGGTGACCTCGCCTGAGGGGGGAAATCCTGTACCATCAAAATACTAATAAGGGTATAAATAAAAAAAAAAAGAAATATCTACAGGACAGCGAAAACATGAGTATTCAGAATAACAGCTATTACTAGGACTTACACCTAAGCCTTTCCTTTTATAGTGAAGTCTGGGTATGTAGGTTTTCACACACACGCGCACACACACACACACACACACACACACACGAAGCTTGATTTTTTAAGTTCCTAAATCACCCCCATAAGTCAATCCCGCGGGAATTCTCTGTCACTGTAGGATATCTGGAAGAAGCCTCCTGGGGAAAAACACACTGATTGACTTGGGCTGTGAGCAGTGGTGAATAAACTCTCCAACAGATACTGTAGTAAAGACTCCAGGATCCAGCCTGGGTCTCCCCCCAACTCCCCAACACCAAACCCCGGGAGCCAGGCTGGTCTCCAGCTTCCTACTCCCCACAAGTCCCTCTCTGCCAGCCTCAACCTCATTTGGATTACAGCTGCATCTGCATCCTAATTTATGACTTAACAAGTGTCTCACAAACATTTAATTCACTTCAATTTCATTATGCATTTGAGGAGGGCGATTTCTGGGGGGGGGGGTGCAGGGAGATGGTGCTCCCATTGCCAGCAGTTAGATTAATTAAATTATCTATGGTAAAGTCTCCTTTTGGGCTTTGGATTTTCACACATGTCTACAAACAAAACCAAAGTAATAATAATAAATAAGTTCCCCCTCCCCCACAAAGTCCTCCTATAATTTTCAGTTTCAATGGAAATTGAAATTTCAATGGAAATTTGTGAAATGGGGAAAACATTCCCTGTGGTTCCCAGGTTATTTAGCTTGTTACAATATTTTTATTTGTGGAAAAAAATTAGTATTTTTTTATGTGTGGTTTTTAACAATGTCAATAAATTAGCATTTTTTTGAGGGGTGAGATGGCTAGCCTGAGGGCACTCTACAAGCCCATGGACCAATTTCTTCCCCGCCCCCCACTCCCATTCTCACTTTATGTCCTGTGCGCCCTCCAGGAGTGAGAGATGTGACTCCGTCTCAAGAAGGAGCGCTGTATTTCTTTTACTTGTTCCTGTGGATGTTTAGGGCATGTACTGGTCCAGGGATTGGAGTATATATAGTGCTGACTAAGATTTGTATACTTATTCATTTAATTGCCCACTCATTTTCCTATATTGAACATACTTGGGGGTCAGAACCCCAGTCAGGTAGGACTGAATGGGCTTGAGACATGATTTTAGAGAGTCACCCACCTGCCTCTATTTTTAACTCTCCTGTCCCTTGGTTCCTTAGAGTTTTCAAGTGAAGAAGCACTTACAAATCAGGTGGAAGGAGGGATGGATGGAAGGGAAGCAGAAACATAATCAACCTTCTTATCTCTGAGGCCTCATCACTTTCATGACTAGCATTTTCATGGTTGAGGCAGGCAGTTGACCTTAGAAGAAATTTTTTTTTTAAAGATTTATTTTATTTATACAAGAGCTGGGGTACGGGCCAGAGGTGCAGGAGGGTGAGAGAATTCACCAGAGACAGAGCGGGGAGCAGAACAGGCAAACGGACTGAAGACACTGCTGAGGGGAGCAGCAGGCGAGACAGGAGAGGTCTGCCATACCATGTGGGTTGCTACCTGACCGGCTGGGAATCGAACCCGTGCTGCAGAGGCTGTGGATAGCTTCACAGTGCAGCACTCAACCCGCTGCACCACCGGGGAGGCCCAGAAGAATCTTCTTTGATGGCTTCTGTCCTGAGAAACCCCATTGAGGTGTCACCTGCTGTGACTGAAGCTTAGGGTAGAATGCCCAGTGACAAGTTTTTATTCCCCAGAAGGTAGACAAGATGGCCCATTCTCCGTGGGAGTCAGTCTAGTTTCCTTTATTTGGGGAGGGCTCTGGCAACTTTGACCAGGCTGGGGAATTATTGAGTAGCACTGAAAGCTCATCACATCAGAACTCCAGTGTCTGCCCTCCCCTAATTAGCAGCATTATTTTATGCAAGTCCATTAGCCCCTGCTGGCTTCTGTTTTTGCCTTTGTAAAATGAGGCATATGAAGCCAAAGGTCTCTGTGCTCTGAGGTTCTCCGACTTCGAATTCAGTGACTAGAAAAATGAAGTATCTGTAAGGGTTTCCTCTATCGATTGGCCCAAATGTGGTGTATATAGAAAATCAATCCAGGCAATCATAGAGGCCCATGCAATGTGGTGTTGAAGATACATTCACCATAGTATGTGGTTTGGGTGGGGTCATGGGAGCTTTGAGAAGACCTTAAGGATCACCCAGTCTTCAGGCAATGCCGATGTCATCTTGAGGGGAATTCCAATGAGGCACACAGCCTGCCTCTGGACTCCACTGGCATGGCTCCTGTGCTATGAAATCAGTCCAATTTCCACTTTACATGCCTTTCCACCCCTTACTGGCTCCTCCAGCCGTTGACATGGGATGATGGTCCTATTGCTGAAATGATGGTGACAATTAGACAGTGTCACTGTCATTTTTACTCAGACTCCTGTCCTGTCCTTGGCTGATGATACAGTCAACAGTCACAGTGACCAGAGCACCAGCTCCAGCAGGTGTCTTAAAAGGAAAGTATGTCACGACCTCAGCAAGGGGAGGAGCAGGAGGAGCACACACTTACTTGTCCTGAGTCTGTGTCAAATAAGGGTGGGGGTGGCTATGTCATTCTTTTCGCTTAAATTTCATGTCTGTCTTAGGTCAACCATTCCCCCACCCTGGCACGTTCCCTTGGACACAGGGAAATGAGGAGCCATGTCCATCACCACCACTGAGGGCAGTGCTCCAAATGTGTGCCCTCCTAATAGATGGCCAATAATGTCACTTGGGAAGTCATGTTGGCTCTCATGAGGTTAAGATCAGCTCTTGGGCTACCGTCCTCTGACGGCGCAAAGAACAGCCCAGGCAGGAGCTAAGCGGGACTTCTTGACCTGGGGCCATCGCCAGACTTGGTGGAACCTATGGCCCACCTAGACCACCTGACAACTTCTGGGAGTAGGGGAGGGTACACAGCCTCCATCAGAGCCTCACCAAAGTGCCCATGATGGCAGAAAGGTTGAGAACCCAGGCAGAATGCATTTCCTCTGTGCCTCTGTTTTCTGAATCTGGGGTGATGGAGCTGACTTGCCTCTCTCTCTCCTTTGCTGTTCCTAGAAAAAGCAAGTGAGTCAGACCAAGATCCGGGTCATCTCAACCATCCTGTTTATCTTGGCTGGCTGCATTGTGTTTGTGACCATCCCCGCTGTCATTTTCAAATACATCGAGGGATGGACGGCCCTGGAGTCCATTTACTTTGTGGTGGTCACTCTCACCACGGTGGGCTTTGGTGATTTTGTGGCAGGTAAGCGCCCTGGGCGTCTCAGCGGCTGGGGCCCTGGTGGGGAAGTGTCCTGTTGGCAGTGCATTTTAAAACCACGAGAAAAGGTGTGGTGGGAGAAGCCAATGAAAAAGACTCAGCATCACTGCTGCTGTTCAAAACCCGGAGTCCTGCGGTGTGAACGGCACCCAGCTTCTGCTGGGCGAGCAAGCCAGCCCCACCCCCTGCATGCTCATTGCCCTTGCCACCATGTGAATTGTGTGAGTGAAATGGAATTCTCATTGAGTCTTTGGACTTCTGAATTGTAGCAGGGCTTCTTGAATCAGTTGACAAAGGCTGTATTAGCAAGCTGCACATCTGAAACTGGAGAAACTAGCATGGAGTTTACCCCACAAAAACCTGCAGGTTAAACTCCCACACCAAGGTGAGAGCCACTGTCCCTGTGAACGTTGCCCTGGGTATAATCAGGGCTTAGGCCTCAGGGTGATGACAAGATGCCAAGGTTTGCCCTGAGGGGATATCTTATCATACAATGAATTCTGCACGGGTGTGCACAGATGCAATAATCTTTGTTGCCAAATGGTGCCTTGAGTTTAAGGAAGCAAAAGAAAACTACCATTAATTTCATCCAGAGACCTGGAGCTTGAAAATGACACGTCCCACTTTCCCAGAGTGTGGTAGGAAGGCAGGGAGAGAAGACCATCCCTTGTTGCAAAACATTAAACATGTATCTGCCATTTTACCCAGTAATTCTACTCCTAAGGCATGTATCCAAAAAATTCAAAAACACTAATTTGAAAGCAAACTTGCACTCCCATCTTCATTGCAGCGCTATTTACTATAGCTAATCCATGGAAACAACCTACGTGCCCCATAAGAGATGACTGGATCAAGAAGATGTGGTGTGTATATACACAGTGGAATACTACTCAGTGATCAAAAAAACTCATGCCATTTGTGGCCATGGGGAGGGAGCTTGAAAGGATAATGCTAAGTTGAAATAAGTTTGAAGGAGAAAGATAAATACTGGATGGTGTCACTAATATGTGTAATATAAATTAACTAAATTAGTAGATAAAGCTGAAAAATTAACCCTTTGATAGCTGATTACAGAATTGAAACACCAAGAGTGGGGGGGGTGGCATGGGGGAGGGTAAGAACAAAGAGGGAGGGAAGCACAATGGTCTGTGGTGGTGAATATGGGTGAGTTGGTGGTGGGTACATTGTGGTGGTGATAACTGATGGGGGTATCCCAATATTACCTCAATTAAAAATAAGTTAATAATAAATAATAATGAAAAGGAGACCATACATCTCTTTTTCTCATGGGATAGTTCTATATGGTCAGACAACTGATCATTTCCTGAGAGATGAAGACTCTTCAGACAACTGTTGTAAGTTTGAAATGTTCGGGTGGGATGTGTGTGTGTGTTTCTCTGACCAACCCCTGGTTAAGCAGCATCCTGGACATGGACAGGCCAAGCTCCCAGGCTGACTGGCCTTCCTTTGGCACATAATCCCGGCAGTACCTTGGCTTCTCCCTGGAGTACCATGCACACCAGGAGGACAGAGATCTCATCTCTGGGAATCTGGAAGACAAGACATTCTGGAGGGGATGCTGAAAAGCTGACCAAGAGCCTGGGTCCCTCTACAGTAATTCTCTGGTACTGACAACCGGCTTTTGCAGGACAACTAGACTGAAGCCCACTTTATAGTGACCAGTTTTTAATTTTTTCTTCGTTTTTATTGACTGAGAATTGCCACGTCAAAGTGCTTTCTAAAATTCTTTCCAAAAAGGCAACCAAAAAAAAAAAAAAAAAAACCAACAAAAAAAACAACGCCACAAAAACTGTTTACAGAAAGACCCAGCAGTCCTTCGGAGGCACGGTGCTGGGGCCCAGTGGGGCTGCTCGGCTTGAGTGCCAGGTCGCCTGGTGCCCGGGGACTGGAACCTAGGGCTCCAGGAACAGCTGCACGGAGCGGCCAGGGAAGAGGACAACTGACAGCCAGCTTGGTGCCTCGGTATCACAGGTGAGAGCTGGTGCAGGGTAAAGCTCACCGGTGCTTCCAGCCCTAGGTGAACATGGGCAGCAGCCCCTGGAGTCCAGAACTATTTGGAAACATCCCTCATCCATCGTCTGCAGCCTCACTTGGGCTAGGTGCTGGCTCAGCACTCGGGGGTGCTCAGCTAGGGTGGTCAGGTGACGCTGGTGACAAACCCTGCCCTCTGACCACCTGCCCGGGGTAGTCTGGTCATCTGTTCATCTGCAGCATGAAAAAGCAGAGCCGCAGGAATATGAAATTACAAAAACGATTGACTTTGATTTGCAATTTGTTCTGATTAGCCTGCCCTTGCATAGGGGCACCAAGTGCCTGGTAGTACCTGACCTTGCCTTACCTGGTAAGGTGTGACCTCAGCTGCCACCACGTGGCTCTTTTCATTCCCTTCCGTAGGGCCAACACAGAATCCCATGTGATTTGTCCTGAGGCCTCCACAGACAGGGGTCTCAGCATTCATAGTGCTTCCCTTGAAGTTCCAGTGTGCAGAGCTTACACGGACCAACCGGGAGGACGCACACCTGGAAGTTTGTCATGACTGCTGGGCAGCTCTCCAAGAGTGATGGGGAAGGATGCTGATCATGTAAGAAGACTCGTCACCGTCATCCAGAGTCGACATTCGCTGTGGTCTGACCTGCACAGCCTCTACAGAAATGTGGCAGGACCGGTGACCACCGTGCAGGGTTAAGTGCTGGTCTGTTGGGAGCTGACTCACTCTGGGACAGCTGAGTAGCGGGACGCAATGTGGCAGCCCCCTGGCCTGAGGCCTGGCTGAGCTCAGAACCTGGGACCAGCCTCTGGTGTGCATGCAACACACACACACACACACACACACAGCACACACACACACACACACACACACACACACACATATTGTGTTGTTCATTAGCGCACCCTAGTGACAATGTCTGCGGGCTGAGGGTGAAGTGCTAAGGTAAATATTTACTTGCAGATACCTAGCCCTGGGGAGAAAACTGCTGGGCTCTCTGGCCTAAAGCAGACTTGAAATGAACTGGAATGAACCTCAAAAACAACTCGATGCAGGGGGGGAAAAAAAACAAAAACCCTTCAGTATGGCAGCAATGCCAATGGTATGGAGGAAGCTGCACCGGACAGCTGCCTGGAAGGAGACAACAAGCAGCTGAACCAAACAGGAGGGTCGCCCACAGTAGCCGCAGCCAGGCGTGGAATGCTAATTTTAGGAAATGACTGCGGCCCTTGAGGCCTGGTGGGCTGCCGTGCAACGTGGGTTCAGTTGCATCAAGAGGAGCCTCAGGCCATGGTGCCTGCCAGCCCACTGCTCTTGGGAGGCTACTGATACCCTCAGGGCCCAGTGTGGCTTCCCGGTGCCAGGTGAGGTTACCGCAGGCCCAGGGGAACACCCGCGGGAGCTCGTCGTGGGATGCCAGCACCAGGGAGACGCTGCTAGTGGGCCTTGCCTTCCAAAAGGCCTGCGGCTGCTGCACTGGGCCACAGCTTCTCACCAGTGTTGACAAGGCTGGGCTTGACTGTTTCATGGCGCTTCCTCACCTCGTTAGGACAGTGGGCTGGACCTGGCAGCTGCTTGGCGTGATTACCTTTGGCAGTCCCCGAGGGAGAGCTGGAGTAAATAAGCTAATTATTTGGAATAAGTGACTGGCCCTTTCAATGGAGCAGTTAGTCAATGCAATCAGGCAACCGGCCAATTTGGCTCGATGGAGTTTTGCTGTAATCCCTCTGTAGAAAATAAAGGTATTGGACTAGCTCGCCCAGAAAGTCCCTTTCAGTTCTAGGTTGGTGATTCTAATTCCTCAGTCTACTAGACTCTTTGGATTAGCCTCATGTAAACACCCGTCCTCAGCACTGAATCGCTCGTGCCCTGGATGCAAGTCTCAGGAATGCCTCGAAGTCTCGCCTGACTTCCACACGTCTACTTCTCTCGGGCAACGCATGTGTGCTGAGGAAGGAAATGTGTCTGAGAATCCCAAACTCTCTGGGAGTTATTTGATGCTATTTTATTTTGATTAAAATTTAAGGAAGTTTAAGAAAAAAATTGACAGTGGGGCTTGATCCGTGGTTCCTAACTCAAGTCATTTGTGGAGGCTAGGTGGCTCCAGCTGGCCACTGACACTTTTTTTTGTAGTAGGTAGCATGGTTCGCGGTCAAGATTTCCAGGGAGTTCAGGCACTGGTCAGGCTCCTTTAGGAGCCATGGCAGGCCTAGCAGCTGAGCGTCAGGTGGCCATGGAGCGGCGGCTTTGCTACATGGACAGGAATGTTTGCTCTGCAAAGACCATGTGCTCGACAGTGGCTAAAGTAACCTTTGGTTGTTTTCAGGGGGAAACGCTGGCATCAATTACCGGGAGTGGTATAAGCCCCTCGTGTGGTTTTGGATCCTGGTTGGGCTTGCCTACTTTGCAGCTGTCCTCAGTATGATCGGAGATTGGCTACGGGTTCTGTCCAAAAAGACAAAGGAGGAGGTAGGACCCTTTCCAAGTCCCCTGACTGTTCCTGAGATCAGACTGTCGAGAATGACCTGCCTCTGTTCTGTGGGTGGGAGCGGTTCTGACCAGCTGGAGGGCTCGTGAGCCTTCCTGCATCTGAATCATTAGCTGCGGTGGTTTCCAGATCTTGTTTTGGCAGGTGAGAAGATCTGGTGACTCACTTGCCAACCCACAGACCTTGGAAAGGCTAGTAAACAACAACTTACTGTAAAAAAATGAAAAGAAAAAGACACTAGAGGTAGCTGAGACAGACGTGGGTTGAGGGCGTTATGCAAATACCCTCTTATCCGCAGGACTCACAGTAAGCCCAGGAAAGCCAGCCTGTCCTTCAGATCTTGGGGTCTGTAGGAAAAAAGCAGTTGAGCCCGTGAGTCTTGCTTGATTCTGTGTCCTGCCAAACTCACTGATGGGTAGCCAGCCGCGGAGAGGCGAACCAAGGGGCCCTTTTACCTCTGCCCCCTCCAAGTTGTCAGGTCTGTAGGAACAAAGGTAGCCCCGTGGCCATGGGCACACGGCCTCCCTCTCCCCCACCCTAGAAATGTACATGAAAACCTACACAAGACAAGAGAAGGAAAGACCAGTTTTCGATAAAATTTAAAAAAAAGTCCATGTAGTTCTTCTAGGAGGAGGGGAAAAGAAATCAGCAAGGAGGAGGGCAAGGGAAGAAGAGATGAAGGAAAGCAGAAAAGTAGAGAGTGAGTCTCATCCCTTCCCAGCCGGAGGGCCCCGGGAGAGAGCTGCTGCGGGGGACACGAGTCTCAGCCCATGTGCTCGTTTTCCTGGCTTCCCCGAACACTGTCCCTCCAAGGTCCGCTCTGACTCCACGGCTAGCCCACCTCCCTGTTGAACGTCAGCCACAAGGAAAGAGAAAGTAATGACGTAGGTATTGAGTTCCCTGAATGCAAAAATCTGAGCGTCTCATCTGGACAGGAAAGCCGGGACGTGAACCCGTTGCCCTGCTGGCTGAGAGCCGGGGATCTGGCTGTCGGGCCCGACACCAAGTTCGCGCTAAGGCATTGTGTCCTGTGGGCTTCGGCACAAAGGTGCCCCTTCCTGCGCCCCGGCCAGGGAAATGTGGTTCCTGGCCGCCCTGAAGGGTCTTCTTAAACCAGGGCAAGCCCCACAGCACATGTCTGTATCGTGGCCCAGACCCAGGGTGATGGGTGTCTCAGTCTGCCCAGGACCACAGGGTATCCCCCGGCACAGGACTTTCCCTTTTGAAACCAGGGTAGTCCCGGGTTAGCTAGGACAGGCTGGTGGCCCTACCCAGAGTGAGGCAGGGCAAAGGAAACAGCCTCCCTCCCGTCCCTCCTCTCCCCACCCCCCAACCCCAGCACCTGCTACCCGCCGGGGCTGAGCCAGGAGCGGATCTCCTGTCTCCCATAACACGGAATACTCTGTGAGCTGGACGCCATGACCCCAGGCGTGTCCGGCCCTATGATTAAAAAGAGGCCACGCCATAAAAAAGGTGGTGGCAATGTCACGGGAGCCCAGGCCCGTCCACCTCCAGCGATTAACCTCTACCCCAGAGTGCCTTCGCCTCGCTCCTTCAGCCCCCGCCTCCAAATCTCAAGCCGCTTTTGGGTGGTCCAGCCTAAGTGCCCCCCAGAGTTAAATCCCCCACGAGCCAGCAGGAGGGGGGTCTCCACCACCTCCAGCCCTCCGCGGGGGGTGGGCAGCCTTCCCCGTAGGGACGCCCAGGGCTGTGGGTGCAGGGAGGGGGACCCCACCCCGAGGCCGAGGGGAGTCACCCAGCTTGTCGCTTCTGCTCTCTCGGGCAGGTCGGCGAAATCAAGGCCCACGCGGCCGAGTGGAAGGCCAACGTGACGGCCGAGTTCCGGGAGACGCGGCGGCGGCTGAGCGTGGAGATCCACGACAAGCTGCAGCGCGCAGCCACCATCCGCAGCATGGAGCGCCGGCGCCTGGGCCTGGACCAGCGCGCGCACTCGCTGGACATGCTCTCCCCGGAGAAGCGCTCCGTCTTCGCCGCCCTGGACGCCGGCCGCTTCAAGGCCTCGTCCCAGGAGAGCATCAACAACAGGCCCAACAACCTGCGCCTCAAGGGGTCGGAGCAGCTGAACAAACACGGCCAGGGGGCCTCGGAGGACAACATCATCAACAAGTTCGGCTCCACCTCCAGACTCACCAAGAGGAAAAACAAGGACCTCAAAAAGACCTTGCCCGAGGACGTCCAGAAGATCTACAAGACCTTCCGGAATTACTCCCTGGACGAGCAGAAGAAACAGGAGGAGACGGAGAAGATGTGCAACTCGGACCACTCCAGCACGGCCATGCTGACGGACTGCGCGCAGCAGCCCGCGGGCTCCGAGGACGGCGCGCTGCCCACCGACACCAAAGACAGGGAACTCGAGAACAACTCATTACTTGAAGACAGAAACTAAACGTTATGGGCGTTGGACTCGACCAAGCCGTTGTGTTTTTGTTCCTGTTTTTTTTTTTTTTTTTTTTTTTTAATATATATATTCACCCCGAGACACGTGCCTTAAACAGACTTCTCCTTAGAGTCCGAAATTACATAGCATCGAAGAATATATTTCACTGTGCCATAATCGAGTGAGAAAGCTTGCTCTGCCGAGAGGGATTTCACCCGGCTGAGGCAGGACGCCCAGAGAGCGTGGGCGCGCATGGGGTCACCAACCGGCACGGCTGGCTGGGCTGCGCCCCCCAACACCCCGCCCGGTGCCCCTGCCCTGGCCTGGCGCGGGCTCAAGGGCAGCTATTCCTAGACCAGCCTCTGGAAGGAACAGGTGTGTCTCCAAGAGGGCGTCTCCTTCCTGCACCCGCCCCGCCCTGCGTGCTGTGTGCGCAGGCGATGGGGGGTGAACTGGGACCTGTATTGGCACGCGCGCGGCGCCTGAATTTTGACACAAACCCTTGAGTGCAAAGCTAGGCTTTCTCAGCTCCCAACGAATGTCCAAATGTCCGCGGGGCCCGGGACTGCCTGGAGTTTGTTGGACACAGATCAGAGCACACGTATTAAAAGGTGCAATCGCTTTCCTCTCGAAAGAAAACAAAAACGTTCACAAACACATCACACTGTGGATCTCACCGTAACCAATGACAGAAGCCTACTGCTTTCTGTCTCTCTCACAGAGGTAGGGAGTCCAGATGAACTTGCAAGCATTGGTGAAAAATCCCACCTCCTCTGCTGCATGGTTATGAGCAAAAAATCATGCGCTTTCCTCAGTGGGTGCGAAGGTGAAAATAAACTGGTTTTGAAATGATCACGCTCACTTTTCTAGTGGAACTTTGGTTATACCGTGTTTTGATAAGAGGGGGAGAAATACCAAAACTATTATCGCCTTGCACGATGCCGGCGGCTTTGCTGTTCTGTCTAGCTGACCCTCGATTTTTGATAATAGACATTGGCGCATCTGAGACATACCAAGGGGGGCCGAGGCGTCGTTCCATCTCAGGGCTCCTTGCCCCTGGGGTGTCCTGCGGTAGGCCTAGTGCTGACACCCCATTTTGCTATCTCCAAACAAAAGGCAAACAGAAACCCAACCCTTGTACCGTAAGATTGACTTGTTTTAATTGCTTGCAGCTTAAGTGCCATTAATGCCATTTAAAAAAGTAATACTTAAAAAAGAAGTATTTTCAAGATTTCCCTTTTCTGTCTGGGCATTCCTTTTTCTTGAGAACACTGCTTCTTTCCCTGGCTTGTTTCTTTCTCTCACACCTGCTGTTCACGCACGTCGGGACTCCCGCATGGCTGATGGTTTCCAAGAAAACGGTAACCGACAGGGGACCAGTCTGATCGCCCCATGGGGTGAGCGCACCCAGGGAGGGACCGTGGTGGGTGGCCCTTCACAGGTGTCGAGGGGAAGACCCAAATGAGTGTTATCAGAAAGGGAAAAATAAGTCCTGGGCCAGCCACCCTGTGTGTGCCCATCTTATTCACGTCCGGCAAGCCGTGGTGCTGGTCCCCGCTTAGCTCTCTGGGTCCCACGTGTCAGCACGTGAACCTGGTAATTCACAACGATTCATACACGGAATGGATTTAGCCGAAGGTCATAGGATGCCCCGAGAAGTCGGGAAAACATCCAACGCTTTCCTGACCTCTGGGGGAAATTATACCCACCACATCCTTGGCCCCGCCACCACAGCAGACCTCTTCCTGCCTGCTTCCCCCAAACGCTCAGCAGTTCCTTTCATGAACACATGCAGCCCCCATTTTCCCTGTCCCCAAACTTTTAGGCTCCAGTTTAAGTTCTGGCATTGCTTTGGGAAGGAGCCAAGGAAGAACCAACTTTGGGGCAGCCCTTCCTGGCCGAGGTTTGAGCTAAGTCCCCCCTTAGGCAGGAGCCATAGCTTACGGGTGAGGTCCTATGTCCACCCAGTAACAGACACCTGGGAAGAGATGCTATGTCCACGTGGGCATTGATGCTCACTATGGGGACCTTTCCAGCCTGACAAAATGGGTTTTAAGAAAATGGTAGATAACTGGGATAGTCTTATTTTCACAAGTTAAAAGCTTCCTGGTTAAACTGTTCATGGGCCGCATTCATTTTGGACTCGCTGGCACCTTCTGTAATAGCATGTGTTAAGAGTCTTGTCCCGGAGGCCACATCTGGCAAACAGGTTTCCTTAACCCGTATCCATTGGCTTTTGTGGGCCTGGCACTGGACCAGGCTCTTTATGGGTACCAGCTCTCTGAACCCTCCCAGCAACACCGTGGGGGAAGTAAGTGCACACCCATGACGCAGATCAGGACGTAGGGTTCAGGGAAGCTGAGGAAGTGACCTACCCCATGGCACACGCAGGAGCGGGGAGAGCTGGCCTTCGAAGTCTGTCTAACTTAAGTCGGCTTTCAGCTTTGCTACCGTGTCGCGTGCCCTCGTGTGCGCGCACGTGTGCACATGTGTGCCACTAATTCCGTGGACACAGCATGCAGAAGTGGAGAAATCTCTACTCCCAAGAGGGCACGAGGTCTGTCAACACAGAATGCTGCCCTTGTAGACACTGGGCTTTTTTTGGTTTTGGCTTTGGTTCTGGGAGCACTGAACGTGCGCCCTCCTTTCCTTGTGGTTCAAATGCCCTTTGAAAGCACTCTTCTGCACTTTACTTGCTTCCTTTGCAGGAACTCCAAACACAGCAGGAATAAAACTGTTCAAAGCACTAAGGCCACACGCTACAAGACGAGACAGGTGCTGGTGTGTGTGGAGCGCTTCTCCCAATGAGTCAAATCAGTCATTCCGAGGGGTCAAAAATACCCCCTGGCTGAGAGTGGGGAACTCTCCAATATATCCCTTCCCTGAGTACAGCTGGGGCCCAGGCCCTGCCCAATAAAATCAAAGAAATACCCTCAGTGGAGACTGATCCATTAAATTTGTGGCAAAGTGTCTGACAAATGATAACAGTCTCTCCAGAGGAGCGGCCGAGGGGAGGTAAGATCTTGGACCCCTCTCCCCAAACACATTAAGGTTTGGGGGGATGCCCGTTGTTTTGAAGTTGCTCGAATGTTACCTTTATGAGTTGGGGCCACCTAGAATGCAGAATATGTGTGGCTAAGGCAAAGCACAGCCCTGTATTCCCTACCTGCATGCCCCACCCCCCATAGATCCCGGATGAATGTTCTGATGGTGAACGAATATTCTGATTTTGCACCTGGAAGGAGCACGTTTGGTATCGTCAGTGGGTGGTGACTTTTGCTTCACCTGGTCACTAGGTATTGAACTTATCTTGCAGAACAACTGGCGAGAACCCAGCGACAATTTGGAGAGACAAGAGAGCTCAATGCCCAGTCCTAACCCAGTGCCTCTAGGGACTTGTCCCTTCGGGGGTAGGGCTTTAATGTTAGTGTGGGTAGGGGGCCCTGTCCTACAGCCCCCCCATCCCACCTGCCATCATAGTCACCTCAACCCTGTGCCTACATCTGTTACCGCATAGCACACACATAGGTAATGGCCAGGGTCCCCGGGCCAGGTCCCTTGGAGTCCCCCGGTTCTCTGTCCAAACATTCCCTGGTTCACAAGTTAATCTCATTTATGAAGACTGCTAAGAACCGGAGTGGCTGGTGCAGACCGACCAACGGGCCTGCTCATTTTAGGCTAAGACAAGAGCTTAGTCTCCTGTCCTTTGGGAGTTGTTTTCTGGCTGACTGGTGGAAGAACCAGGTGTACTTGGGAGCCTGGTGTCCAGACAAGGACCCTGCCCCCTGGAGGCTCACTGTGCCCTCTCTTGCAAGTTCACTGTCATCTGGTGTGCTCATGCTGGGGTGGGGGTGGGGGGCATCTTTTTTGTTTTGTTTTGCATGAGATGTAAAGAGTATTGAAGGGATTTCAAGCTGTGGCTACTTGCAGTTAATTCTAGTCGAGGTTCCCTTTGATTGCTTCGTGAATTTGTAAACTACAGACAGCCATCTCTTGCTCAGACACACTCACGGACACACGCCTGCATGCACAGGCACAGAGGGGAGGTGGCTGCTCTGGGGTCTCTCCACGTGGCAAGGCCTGGTTGTGCTAGACCTGGACAAACCACTCCCTCGCCCCCCACCCCCGCCCCTCAGATGAGGTCACTTCCTGACTGAGTCAGCGCTGCTCAGCTGTTTGAATGCTTGGTTTGGGGGATTAGCGAGGCTGTGGCCAGAATCCCAATGGGGCAGGTGTTTCTCCCCCGACCGGGAAAGAGCGCAGACCGGCCGCTGTGCGCCAGGGTGCCCGCAGCACCGGGAAGGCGAGGAAAACCTCCGCGCAGAGACCCTCTCCAGTGAGCGAGGAAGCCCGCCCCGCGGGGCCACACCTCTGCTCTCTGCATTCCGCTCACGTTTCAAGCGGCGGGGGGGGGGGTATTCCTTGGCGCCCTTAGGACGCGCCTGGAGGCAGAGGCAGTGGCTGCGGGCGCAGAGGGGGCTGCCAGGGGTGCGCCGCCCTGAGAGCTGGTCAGGAACGGCCTTCAGAAATAAAAATGGTAACTCTCCGAAATAATGGGGGGCTGTAGCCTGGCGTTGTGGGTGCTGTCAGCTCTGCGTGGGCACACGTTGGAACAGCGCCCCGCCCGCGCCCCGCGCCCCCGGGTCCCGCCCGCGCGCCCGCCACGTTCACCAGCCCAGCGCGGGGGAGAAACGAGCAGTCTCTGCTTTCCCCGAGAGTGATCATCATCACTTTCTGTTCTCGCTTCTTATTTGAAAAGTCTCATCATTCCCGGTGCGTTAAAAAAAAAAAAAAAAAAAAAAAAAAACCCACAAAAAACACACCCAAAACCCAAAACCCGAGGGGCTCGCGCCCTCCCGGATGCTGCGGGTCAGCGCCCCAGGACGGAGGCAAAGCCCCTTCTTTGCCACCAGGGGGCGACCTCGGGGGCGCCGGTGCAGGGGGCGGGGGGTGTTGGGGGGCTGCCCCCGCGGCAAGTGCCCCGCCGGCCCACGGGGTGGGGTCCCCAGCGAGATGCCCGCGACAGGCCCGTGTGTGCGCTTGTTTCACCTGTTTGTCTCTCGGTGGGATTTCATGGTGCTTAAAAATAAAAAAAAAAAAATAAAAAAAAAAGGCATTTTTTTTTTTTTTTTAAATATCGCGGGGTGGGGGGAGGAGGGAATTTCATAATGTTCTGAGGAAAAGTCCGGAAGCAAATCTGCCTGTAACACTTCGGGGAGCTGCGCTGCTCCTGTCTTTACGGGATGATGTTGATGTATTTTTTTCCTTTTCGATGATGGAGAAAATTGCAACAAAGACC